GGAGTATTTTTAGCTCCTGAGACGAACTTTTGAAATCCAAACCTCTACCCCAAAGGACAGGAGGAAATCCACAAACATCCGGAAATGACCTCCCTCCTCCCCCCTATTTCTGCTTTTGCTTTTGTTTGCCCTTCTTGTTTGTTTGTTTTTAATTTACAGCCGGGCTCTTTAGGGTCATGTTGCTGAGATCATCCCGACCGTTCCCTGATGCTTAATTCCCCCTGTCAGGTTGAAGATCTTCCTGGAGGGAATCCGTCCTGACCTGCAGACCTCAGCAGAGCCCGGCCTGGAGAGCCAGGAATTATATATACCGAAGCTAGCAAGCAGCCAGCCTCCGGAGCCTCTCCCACAACACACTGCACACTGACAGTGCTACACACAACCAGGCGCGTTCCCAGGTTGTTCTACCCAAAGCAAAGAAACTCCCTTCTGCTTCCAAGCTTCCAGCACCACCTTGCTGGCCTCCTCTCGGGGTTCTTCAATAGGCCCAGAGAGAGGAAGCTTTGAGCTGCGATGGGGACCCAGCTCAAAGCTGCATCCTGGCGGTCTCTTAGCAGGGAAAGAGGAAGGACTCAGAATTAGGGGAAAGGAAAGATGGGCCCACTTGGTCCACTCCTACTGATTCATGGGCAGGAATCAAGTTGGCGTCTTGGCATTCCCCAGAAGTTTCTTTCTGAATACACTTGGCCAGAGGTTTTGCTCGGGGCCCGGACGCCATTCACGTTTATCCTGAACTTCGTTCTTAATTCTTCAGCTGGTTCTCTGGGACCCTGAGGTATCCCCGTGAAAGAGGGTTCCTTAAACTATTAGGGGAACGGCTAGCGTGGACATCCCCCAGCCAGCAAAAGCCGCCAAGACTCAGATTCCTTGGCGCAACCGAAGCAAGCTAGGTAGCAAGGCCGCTCTTCCTCCTGATAGAAGGGGAAGCTGCTCCGGAGATCAGGAGGAGAGCGACGGCCAATCCGGTTCTTCTTCCCTGCTATTGCTAGGACGGGAGAAGTCTTGCTCACTGCATCTGAACGAACCTGACTGTCCGGAGAAACAGGCATTTTGGGGACCACGAGGCTCTTGCCATTCCCAAAGGGTTGAGCCTTCCTGTATCTTAGCAGATCCAGCTCTGGCCTATCCCAGGATAGGAGAAAAGGCCAGCCGGGTTGGCTCAGGGCACTTAAAACTCTTTGGAAGAGTTTTCCAGGTAGCTCAATTTACCGGACAATGAATCCGAATCTGTATTCAGATAGAGCTGAATCTGTTTTGGGGTCACTTATAATTATCTCTCCGCCTGTCCTCCCGCCTGCCTCCCTCTGGGTCTTTCTTGTGAGCCCGAGCCAGATCCGCTGAGCCCGCGAGGGCCTTAGGAGAGCAGGAAGACCGAATTTTTAGCCGTGCCCGCGTGTTGACGGGCTGACTCCTTTCCCGGGAATTTTGGAGGTCGCGATGGTGGAGGCTCGGGGGTTGATTAGTCTGAACCGGTCCTTCAATAATTGGTGGGCGACTGAGAAGGAGGATCACGGAGAAGGGAATCCGAACTGGGGATGAAAAGCTCTAGGGAAAAAATGGGAGCAACCTCCCTCTACCTCTGTTACACACACACACACACACATACACACACACACGCACACACACACACACACGCACACACACACACACACATTCAAAACCTCTCCCGTCCCAACCAAGCGCAAACCTCTTTTGGAAAGGCCTCTCAGCAGTCCGGCGGCTCCTAGGAAATGTGGAATAAACGGAACGCTTATTAGAAAGACCCCGGAGTTTTTCCTAGGGACTCGTAGCTCAGGAGGAAAGCAGGCCCTTCCGCAGCGCCAGCCGACCCGTTAAGGCAGGCAGGTTTCTGTGCCGCCGGTACCAAAAACGGGGAATACTCCAGTTCTCCTTTGGCTTATACGAGAGCCGGGACGATCTTGGCAGGTGAGATCTGGATGGAGGCGACGCCGAGACCATTCCGGATGGGCTTCCTTTCAAAGTTAGACCGAGAAGCCAAAGAGCCCCGCCGGTTTCTCACTTCGGAGTCTCTATTCCGAAACCTGTCCCGTTTCAAAGGTTGGAGATATTCTCCGGCGTGCCAGAAACCCACTGAAGGCCTGGGACACACTATAACGCGGCAAGCGGGCTGAGATATTTAGATAGTGAGTTTTTCTTTCTTGGCAGAAATTAAAATTGGAGATACTCTAGAGGCAAGTTGGCGTGGCTGTGCTTCTTCCACTCTCCACCATTTGGGAACTTTTAAAACCCAAACTTGGTTTGGCTGTAAAGTGGTCCCTGAAGCCCTCCTCCCCCCCCCCTTCAAACCCCTTTCCCACCCCTGTTCCAATCCCATGGCGGAATCTGTTGGCCTACGGCTGCGCCTGGTAAAGAGAGCTTAGATCTGTTGATACGCCGATCTGTCCAAGCTTGTCAAATCCGCTGATTTGGGGAGAATTCTCCTTCTGTGTGCACCAAGGATAAAATAATTTATTATCACCACAGTAACTTGTATTCTGAATTTACCCTTGGACTGAGATAAAAGTGCCCCAGCAGAAGTGAGTGGATTTCTCACGTTTAGGAGTGGAAGAGAAATGGCGGTCCCTTAGATTCTTTGCTAAGGAATCCAAAATAATTGAATCAAGAGAAATCTTCTATTCCAGATTAACGGCCGTGGTTAGTATATTCGCCTAGAGATGCAAAATACTCTTTCCGAGGCCACACTTCCGTCCTTCTATCCTTTTCTAAGGCTCTAGCCAAAATATTTAGTCGTATGAAACGAAGGGGGGGGGGGAAGAGATGGACTGTTTTGCAGTGCAGATTAATCTCTTACAGGAAAATGAAAAGACGCTTAGAATCGCAAAGTAAAAGCAGCTTCGGGTGCAAACCTTTTTCTTTTTAACCCATTTCTGAATTGGATATTCCTCTGAAAGAATATAAAACACACACCAATACATCCGGATACTAGGAAGAAGGAGATGAGAATGTAAGCGATGCGGCCAAACCAAAACACTCCGATATGCTTCTTCATGGAGCCACCTCGTTTCTAATTTACTCTCCCCTTTCGCCTACCTACCAAGAAATTCTCCACCGAGAAATGTCTGGATTTTATGTCATTATATATGATATTAATAATTGTATTCATTTCAGAGCATTCGCGTATATTCAATAGGTTTGTATTTTATATGATATTTTTATATGTCGAATAAAAGGAAATATAAAAGCAGTGCACGTGGACTATGGGGTTTTTTTTAAAAGTACATTTCGTATTAGACCTTCACAAAATGCCCAGTCTGGAGGGAATTCCCAAGCGTTTCTATCCTACTTCTAACTATCTTTCCCAGGAGAAATCTCGTGGTCATCCTAAGCTTCCCCAGGAACCCCTTGTCCTTGTTTTGTTTGATTGAAAGTCGTTATGAAAAAAAGGCAGATAAGTATCCAATTATATGAATGTGCTGATCAATTTAAACAATAATAGCTCAGCTTATTTACTTGTAGGTAAAGGAGTGGGAAGAAAACAGGACCAGAAAAAAAAACCCCAGGAGAAAATTAGGGCGTTCTGAAAGAGGATTTCTTGCATCGCAGAAATATGCTTCTTCACATACAATTCTTCGCCTTTCAGAAAATAAATCATATCGCCCAATAGATTTAAAAGACGCAGATTTTTTTTAAAAAAAAATCATTAATGGTAAACGTGAAAAATACCTGCTGGTACCTCACTTTAGGAGAGTGTAATTGGTAAAAATAGGAGGTTGATGAATAGATAATAGATCCTTAACTACCAATAAACACTAAGCAGCGGCCCGCAGTGTAAGGATGTGATCATAATTATTCGACCGTGGCAGCCAATGGGAGCAGGAGGACTCGGGCCTAAAAAATCGTCCCCGAACGCCACGGCAAGCTCGAAAACCCGGACAAAGCCGGATCCCCGGATGACGAGCCCGTCTCTTCACCGCGAGCTCAGCTTTCTGTCCTCACCACCCACCCACCCCCGCTCCCCCGATCTCCGTTCTCTTTCTGTAAGGCTCTCCCCGAAGTTGCTGCCGGCCGGAGCCAAGGAAGGCGGTGTGGCACTCGCTGAGTTCTATTTTGGAGGGTGGGGGGTTGGAGAAAACGCCGGAATGGTGGAGGGGTCCCGAAACGAGTTTCGGAAAAGTCTCCGAAGGAGAAAGTGACCCCCACGCAGACTCCGGGACTGCAGAGGGGAATGGGGAAGGCTTCTAAGGTGTCAAGGGGGGCGTGAGAAGGCGCTCGAACGAGGGAAAGCGCAGCGCGTCCCCCTCTCCGAACCTCATCTTTCCCCGAAAGGTTGGAGATGGGGTCTCGCCCCCCCCTCAAAAAACCCTCTTGACTTGAGCCAGCCGGTTCGGCGTTTGTTTTGGTTTTAAAACCGGAGGAGAGACTCCCTTCTTTTCACACACCCCAACTCCTCCCCGCCTCTGCTCAAAGCTGGGAGAGGACACCCCCCCCCGGCCCGTTCCTACCTGAGTCCTGGTGGGCTTGGATTCCGCTGGCGGGACCGCCGCCGCGTCCGTCTCTCCCTGCCTCCTCCGGTGATTTTGCGCCTCTCTCCCTCCTCCTCCGCCCCCCTTCCGTCTGGGGCCGGCAGGCGGAGGAGTCCGTTCCAGTCGGGCCCGGATCCATCCCTCCAGGATCGCGTGGGCCAGAAGTTTTGCCTCTCCCCTCTGACGCACTTTAAAGAGTCTTTCCCCCTTCAACCTCAAGGCGAGTAATAGCGACCAATCATCAAGCCATTTACCAGGCTTCAGAGGAAGCTGTTTATGTGATCCGCGGCACTAATTAGGCTCATGAACTAACAAATCGTTTGCGCCACTTTGGGCAAAGGGACCCCGATCGCTCGCCTGCCATGGATTGCCGCTGGACTTAAAAGGGGCCGCCTCGGGCGCTGCGCGGAGGAAGGAAGGAAGGAAGGAAGGAGCGAGCGAGCGGGAGGGCGGACGGACGGGCGGGGGGGGGGCGAAGAAAAAGGGGGGGTGGGAGAAGAAGGAGAAGAAGAAAAAAAGCCAGAACTTCGCCCAGCAACTTTTTTTCTCCCCTTAGTGGATGAAGGGAGCGCGGGAGCCGAGCGGAGCGGCTGCAGAGAGCGCCTCCCTTTCGGGCGCTCGCTTCTTCATGCGGCCAAACACTTTCCCTCCTGTTGCCGTCGCTGGCGGCCGTCCGGCGGCCGGACTCTGGATCTAGGCGGGCCGATCCCTCCGATCTCCTGGCCAGGACCCCGAGGAGGAGGAGGAGGAGGAGGAGGAGGAGGAGGAGAAGCGGCGGCGGCGGCAAGCAGCAGGCCGGCCGGAGGAGCGTCCGCTCGTCGCCAGGATGTTCCAGCCGACCCCGAAACGCTGCTTCACCATCGAATCTCTGGTGGCCAAAGACAGCCCTTCCTTGCCCTCTTCCCGCGCCGAGGATCCCATCCGGCCGGCGGCGCTCAGCTATGCCAACTCCAGCCCCATGAATCCTTTCCTCAACGGCTTCCACTCGGGCGGGCGGGGAGTTTACTCCAACCCGGACTTGGTCTTCGCCGAGGCTGTCTCGCACCCGCCGAATCCCGCTGCCGTTCCGGTCCACCCCGTGCCCCCGCCCCACGCCTTGGCCGCCCACCCGCTGCCCTCCTCTCCCTCGCCGCACCCGCTCTTCGCCTCGCAGCAAAGGGACCCGTCCACCTTCTACCCCTGGCTCATCCACAGATACCGGTATCTGGGCCACCGGTTCCAAGGTAAGCGCCGAGGAGGAGGGCCGGCGCGTTCGCTTCCCCCGGCTTTTTTGCGCAGGGTGGGTGGGGAGAGAAATCGAGGAGTGGGACTCCCGATTGCCGTTATTGCGGAAGGGGGCCAAGTCCGCCGCCTTCGGGTTCAGGTGGGAGCCCGGAGGAAGTGGCGGCTCTTTGTTCCTGCTACCTCGAAAGCCATTTGCGTCCCCGATAAAGAATTGTTTGCGCTAATCCGGATCAGCTTCAATGGAACTCCGGCTTGTCCCCCTCTCTCTCTTGGCGGATCTGCAAAGTGCAAAGTGGGGGTGTAAAGGGAGTGGAGCGAGCAGGGTTCCTCGGGAACCACGATTTCGAGAATCGATTTTGCTCAAAGCAGCCACCACCACCTTCCTCCGGGAATTTTTGACGAAATTCCTGTCTTTCGTCTTAAGGTTTCTTTCCTATTTCTTTCCTTCTTTTTCGCGTTCGTCTGAATCTTTGGCGAAATAAACTGGCGCAATCATTTAACTCGGAGCAGGGGGCTCCTCCTGTAAATTAACCTATCACTGGAAATCCCAATGAAAAGACACTCGAGTTTATTAAAACCGGAGGAGAACAAAGGAGTAGAGTGGAAGCTAATTCTTCTTAGCATTAGGGCGGCTTTTAATATCTCACAACCGAATTTATTTTTAAACGGACAAACCAAAGGCGACCTGCATTGGGGATTAATGCCGTCTCCTGAACTCAAAGATTTAGGCTACTTCTTTGAGAAGCGGCTTCAGGAGAGGACTTTGTATGGTGGGCATGTGCGTATTTCTAACTAACAAAAATAAAAGCACATACACACATTCCTTAGCCTTCTTTCTCTGTGAGCCCTTCGGGCTACAGCAATGGGCTTCCGAAGGGCGGCTTCTAAGGGAAGTTCCTCGGAATACATGCCTTTGAAGTCCAGGGTCTCCAAGGGTCTTAACTTCTCAGGAAAACAACAACTTAAGTCGCCCTGCAGTCGCATCCCTCTGTTTTTGTTTGGCACCTACTCCCCCTCCCTCCGCTGTCATTTTCCAGTGAACGGGAGATCTTCAAAACAGCACAATGTAAAGCTGCAAAGACATGGGAAGGATTCCTGACTAACAGCTTTTCCCCTTTCGTTTCTTTTCCTTTCCTTTCTTCGTGGGTTCGCATATAATTCCCACTAAATAGGGGAGTGGGTGAAAGGACCCTTGGCAGGTGAGACAGCCTGGGTGTTAAAAAGGGAGAACGTAGTTTCGTTTTTGTGTGTGAGAGAGAGGGAGGGAGGGAGAGGGAAAGAGAGAGAAATTCGGAGGCCCAGTGATTAAGACTTTTGAAGGCAGAGATGGAGTGGGGGGGGGGAGGGAGAAGTGGGAGAGAGAAGCAATCAGCCTTTGAGATCTGCACCCGCTGCCTATGTCTGTAAGGCATCCGTCCTGCTCTACGTGCGCTCCTGCTTTCTGTCTCTCCCTCACTCTCTGCGTGCAGTTGCAGTTCTAACCTACGCCAATGCCTTGGAAAAGTACCTATTGGCGCTTCAATCATTTTATAAAGCTTCCCTTCTCCCCTCCGCCCAGCAAACACTTAAATAAAGGCCATCCGCCAAATTCACTCTGGGGCACCAATTTGGGGTGTGGAGAAGAAAGGTCGGATCCACACTGGCGCTACTCTCGGGTTGGAGCGTTTCCCCAGAAGGAAGAGAACTGGTAGCAAGAGGCTGGTTATTGCGGGACTAAAACTCCGGAAAATTAAGGGTTTCGCTCTGTCCGTAATCCGCGCTCCGTTGTGCTCGGATGGTTGAAGGGCGCCAGCGGAATCAGGAAGGGCTTGGCTGGGGTTGTGGTGCTCGTCAGACTCGGGCATCGGCCTCGCCGGGAAAAAGGAGAGGCGTACCAAGGCGGGGAAATCACTAGAACAAAATAGGCAGTAGGGGCGATTGGGGTAAAATGTTCAAGCCTTTACTAAAAACGTTTTTGGGGTTTTTTTTGCTTCTGCAATGGGAGAATGAAACGCTGGGTGTGTGTGTGTGTGCGTGCGCGTGTCACGGAAAGAAAAACACAACCGTGTTTTTGTTCTAGGATAGGACAAAGGCCCAATGAATTTCAGCGAGACTTATTTTAAAGGCACGGTCCCCTCTGCGCGCCGTTTGCTGGCTTGGCGTTCTGTAGAAGAGGGAGGGAGGCTTATAGGGAGGACTCTGAATTTCGTAGGACCAACTTTGGCAAAAGAGCGGTGCTCCGACCCCATTTTTCAAAACGGAGAGTGGCAAGGGCAGTAACTCTACCCGCTTATCTTAGTAGGGAACTGACAAAAAGAGAGTTTTCAAAATAAACGAAAGTGCCCAGCCAGGAAAAGAGGAAGAGGAAGAAGGAAGAGCGATGGGCTTCGTGTGACACCGAGAAAATAAAGTGGGAGTTTACAGTGGATCCGGGTGTGGGGGATCTATTCAGAAAATTGGGTCTCCTGAAAGATTCTTTTTTGCATCTTTTCCCGGAGTATGTGGAGAAGACTGACCCATAGAATAAATAATTCGCTTTGTTTCGTTACTGCCCATTCCCCTTAATTCTAATTAGATGCCTTCGAAGTACTCTTACACCTCATCTTGCCTTCTACAAAAGAATGCCAAATGGCCAATTAATATACCCTCAGCTTCATCTCCTTCCCCTGTTTCCTTTCTGGAGGTAAGTACTAGGAAAGAAGAGGGCAGTTAATGCCAGTCCGCCTTTTAGGGAGAATCGGAGCCCTGGCGAAGTAACAAACCGAAATAAAAGGGCGAAATAAAGAAGGAACCGAGTTTTATTGGTCATCTCGAGAAAGAGAAGCAAAAAAATAGTATTTAGCTAGGCTTGGTTGGTTCCTGCTCTTTTTTGGGGGCTGCCTTCACTCTTTTTCCCCTCTTCTGGTTAAACAGGTAATGAAACCAGCCCGGAGAGTTTCCTCTTGCACAACGCACTGGCCCGGAAACCGAAACGGATCCGCACCGCTTTTTCTCCATCCCAGTTACTGAGGTTGGAACACGCTTTCGAAAAAAACCACTACGTGGTCGGGGCGGAAAGAAAACAACTGGCCCACAGCCTCAGCCTCACGGAAACTCAGGTAGGAAGGAAGGAAGAAGAGGGGGAAACGGTTCCCAGTGTACAGTGCCTGAAATGCAAGGGCCGCGTTGATGGGGGGTGGGGGGAGCCCGAAATATTTCCTCCTGGTCACATTCTTTAAAGAAAAAGGAATATCCCCTTTCGTGCTTATTTTCTCTCTTTCTCGCTCTCTCTTTAAAAAATAGAAGAGTTCGGGGCCCAAAAGCCAGCGGTAGCCCAAGTAAAATGAGATCTTTCGCCTGAGTGGCAGTAAAAGGAATTCATCATCTTCCTAGTTGCAATCCTATACGTCTTGCTTGAAAGCCGGGGCCCGTTCAATTCAGTGGCTCTGACTTCTAAGTAGACCAGCCTAGGATTACACCGCTGATCAAGGCAGATCGGCTTAACAGGTTTTGGCTCACGCAGGGAGGATAATCCGGGGCCAAATTTCAAGGCAGAGGAATAAAAAAAAAACAGGAGTTTTGGGTGTCAGGGTTTCTTCTTCATCTTTGAGGATTTTTAAAAGTATTACCGGGGCCTTTATGAGGACCTCCCTCTACAGTTGTCCCGTGTCAGTTGGGACAATTGAAGTAGAAACGGCCTGCTCTTTTGTTTGGTTATTGTGTTCTTAATTAGGGTGTGGACTAGTTTTGGGATTGTTTTAAATAAAATCTGCGCATTTAACAAGGCATTTCAAACTCTAGATCACGTGTCCAGGAGAGACGGAGGGGGAGGGAGAAAATCCTATCGTTTCCCCTTCCAGGTTTGTTTTTTGAAATTGAAATGTCCTGTTTTTAATTTACATACGTCTTGATTCCATATGCAAGGAGACTAAAATAACTGGATTTGAACAAGGTGTCGCGATCCTGAGCACTTCTGCTTAGGAGCCCCGAATCCTATTGAAACGTTACCATTTCCGAGCAAAAGGTTAGAGGATTTAGTTGTTGGATCTAGTGGCCTGGATTTTAAACCCCACGGATTTCCACTCGGGTTTTGTTTTTTTTTTAAAAAGTCAGTCCGTTCTCCAGTGAAGTCGGAATCTTCTTAAAACCGTCTTCCACGGCTTTGTGGGTCGAAGAGCTTGCCCCCCCCCCACCCTCCACCTCCGTGAGTTGAATTCTGGGCTGGTTGGAAGTTCTGCCGTTGAGAAGCGGGGATGTTCTCCGGTCCAAAGGAGTTTCCTAGTGGGCGTGTGTGTGTGTGTGTGTGTGTGTGTGAGAGAGAGACAGAGACAGAGAGAGAGACAGAGAGAGAGACAGACAGACAGACCTGGGGGAAAAACACATCAAAACGCTGGGTGCGCCGGGCAAAGCAACGGGGCCAGAATGGCGTTGTTTGACAATCGCCCAGATAAGGCCTAAGAGACGCTTGGAAAAGTGTGCTTGGGATAATGATATATTGTATTAATCTTGGGAGTGGGGATGGGAGGGGTGGAAAGGGGTTGGCGAGGAGGAGGAGGAAGAAGAGGGGAAAGCAGATCAAATTAATCGCTCAGGCTGTGTTTTAAGCTTGCTCAGCTGCCTTCTGGGCGCCTGCGTCTTTGTCACCAGAGGGCTTGGTTGAAGGTGGGCGTTCGGGGAAACGTTGTTGTTTCCTTCTTTAGCCTGAGTTCCCGGTGCTGGTTCAGCTTGGTTATTGCGGCCCCCTCCCTTTAAGTTTGGGGGCCTTGTTCTCCCCTCCAAGCCATTTCGGAAGAAACGCGCTTCTTCTGGCGTTTAAAAAGGAGGGAAGAGAAGCGGGAGAGGAGGAAGAAGAAGAAGAAGGGGAAAATAGACCCAGCTTAGTTCAAAGTTCCCAGTAAACAGTAACGTTCTTGGGTCGGATTAAGTTGTAACACTTTTTCCTCCCCCCCTCCTCTCTTCCCCCCCCCCTTCCCTTTACCCTTCTTGCCTTTCTCGGGGCGGAGCGGAGGAGAGCAGGGACGGGGTTGAATCTTTTGTTTTAAACATGCCTCCCTTAACAAAACCCCAGTCAACGGGATCGAGGCTTTGATGAGGTTCGGGCTGCTGACAAGCTGATTTCCACGGGCAAAGCGGCCTTTAAGGTGGTCTTTGTGCCGCTTGATTCCGAAGCTGGTCGGGGTCTATTGTGGTGGTGTCAGGCCCCCAGCCCCCAACAAAATGAGCTCCCCTTTGGAGACCGGCGTGGAGAAATGAACCGCCGTCCCCTTCAATTAGCACGCTGAAAAGCAAATTAAACTCACCCCTTGTTCCCCCGCTCGCACTGCTTAAAGAAGGGGCTTCGGG